TTTTAAATTTTTTTCTCTGTCTGTGACTTATGTGGGGGGAATAATCCACAGAGCCTTTTTCTGTAGTTAAGGTCAGGAGTGATAAGTCCAGTGGTGGCAAGCATTCTAGCTGTTCTGGTTTTCGGTATGTTCCACTGAGATATTTGCTGCCAGTTTAAGGAGGAAAGGTGTTATGTCTTCTTCACATTGGTTCAAAATAAATAGGCAGGCTATTGGTTAAGTTGCGTGAAAAGAAGCCATTGTCAAATGCTATCACAATATAATGAATATTATCTAAAAATTAAGATAAATGTATTGACTAATGTCTCAATAACAAAGTTATACCTGTATTCTGATTATCATCATTAGGAGGTAACCTAAGTCTAAATTTACAGTACAATTACTGCTTTTCTTTTATAAGTTGAAGCACATTGTTTTGGTCTATTGAGCAAACTCATTCTTATTCATTGCCTTCTAAAGTTGACATTTAACTTCCACAGCTGCACAGTTGGCAAGAAGCAAAAGAATATTTAATATTCAAGAGAGCAGATTCTAAGACACCAAAGCATTCTATTGCATGGAATATCCCATGATTAGTGTACATTAACTAAAAGAAAGAATTGCGTATGAAATTAGCAGAGAAAAGTTGAAGGTGCCCATGTAGTTATTTCCTTGTTAATACTCATGAATCAAACAAAACAAACAAGCAATTCTAGGAATTCAAACCAGTAAGGGCTGATTTTCTAGAGACCATGTCTTTTACTGCACTTGCTAGAATAAAACTGAGAACACTTGGTTCTACAGGCCTTGAAGTCTTAAATCAAATAAGACAGGAATTAGCTATGCTTCTTCCATTATTAATTTGCTGTTCAACATCAGAAATAATTTATTAATTCAAGAAATAATTATTGTGCATCTGCTGTAGGTCAGGCCCTCCGTTAGGCACTCGGGATAAAGCTGAGACAGTCTTGCTCTTCAGAGCATTGACTTGAGCAAGAAAGACAAGCAAGACTGCAATTAATTGCAACCAAGATGGATAGTGTCAGGAACACACAGTGATATGAATATCTAAGGGTCATACCATGAGGGTGAGGGGTGGCAGTAGGAAGGGAAGCTCCTGTGGAGGAGATGACATTTTACATGAGACTTGATGACTTCAGAGTTAAGAATGAACGTACACCTCTCATCTTGCTTTCTAAAAAGTTCCACTAAAACCACATTAAAGAGACTTTTAAAAAATAAATCCATAAGAGCAGGGAAAACGGAAAAAGGGACAAGAGAAACAAATATGGGAAGCTAAAGAGAAGATGGACAAGTGGTCTCTGACTTAGCAGAAAGCTGAGTCTTAAATCAGCAAAAAAGTGAGGGAGAGCTGTCGGAGAAGCAGTTCCGTGGAGCTGTAGGCCCCTCCTCCATTCCCCACTGCTGGGTGACCGCCCCTACCCTAGTCCAGCAGGAAGCTAGAATTTTATTCACTGGAAAGGGTAAAAGAGAAAGACCTTGAGCAACAACATGGTTCAGTGACCACACACAATGAAGGATTAATGTTGATGTCCCAGCCAAATGCCCTGCTTGCGCCAAGAATACAAGCATCAACCCTTCACCCTTCAGATGGGCAGCTCAGGGAGCTTCCTCTGGGGACTCTGACCAACCCACAAGGAAAGACTGAAATACTGACACTAGAACTTCTGGGGGAAAAAAAAAAAGACCCACCTAGGTCCCTCCAATGAAGCTCCAAATCCACAAGCCTCACTCACAGGCTCCGAGCCTCATCTCTTAATCATGAGGAGAAAACCAAGGATTGATTACCAGGCACCTGAGGAAAACCTAACATAGAAGATAGATACCGGCCAACAAATAAAACAAACAGAAACAAGAAAACACCTTGGAGGAAATAGAGACTATAATACACAGATAAAAAAAAAATTAAAGAAAAACAAACTATCTTTAACATCTCCAGATAGATAAAAGAAGCTGTTGCAGTCATGAAATTAAAAAAAAATGGATACTATAAAAATGGAAGAATTCAGAAAACAAAAAGAGAACTCAATAGTAGGGCTGAAGAAACAGAAGCAAAGCAGATAGTAAAGACAAAAATAAGACAGAAAAGACAAGACAAAGTCAGGCAAGCAATCTAACATCCACATAAAGAATTTTCAAAAAGAAAGAGCAGACAATGGAAGGTATGAATCATCGATGAAATAAATCAAGAACATTTCCCTGAACTGATAGATAGGAAAGGTTCGTCATGTTTGTTATCTGGCCCAACTGACTTGCACACAGCCCTTAACCATGTATGCATCAGTTACTGTTCTAATTGTTTTACATATATCAATTTGCTTAATCATCACAACAACCTTATAATATGGGTGCCTATGTAATTATCATCCCAATTTTACAGATGGAGAAACTGAGGCACAGAATGGTTATACAACTAGCCCAAGACCACATAGCTAGTAAGTGGCAAGGCCAGGATTTGAAGGCAGGTAACTTAGCCCCAGAGCCCACTACACAATACCACCATGCAGGAGAGAGTACCATGGTGAAATTTCAGAATACACTATAGTTGATGTACTATTTTGATAGTGAATGCAGATCCCAGGCCCTAATTAATCATCTGAAGGGAACCCCAAGCAGACTCTGTTCCCACCTCCACATGCAACTTCCTTCTCTCTAATACCCTATCCAACCCATTCGAGTCTTATCAGAAGCTCTAAATTCCTACTCCCACCTCCAAACTCAACAAGAACTCCGCTCTGCACTTGGGCTCACTTGCCTGTGCCACAACCAGGAAAACTCAGGTGAGTCCCCTCTCATCTCAAGGAGCACAGAGCCTCACTGGTTGCTATTCAACACTTGACAACAGTTGCCTAATGTATTTTGCCCAGTTTTATAGTTATTCATGGCAGGATAGTAAGTCTGAAACCAGCCCTTTTATACCTAAATATATCTTTATTTGACCCTCACATTTAAATAAGTCTGGGTTCAAAATTCTTCTCCTTCAGTACTTTAACGGTATGCTCTTGTATCCAGTGTTGCTGTTGGGAAATTAATGTCAGCCTGATTTTTATTATTTTGCTGCTGATTCGTTTATTTCCTAAATAATAAAGCTTTACCATTCTGTTCCATTGGTTTTAAATTCCTGTTCCATTTGCCCCATCAGGTCTGCTTCTTCTGGTATAGGTTGCCTATATCTCGTTGTTCATGATGCTTTTGTTCTTTAGATGTGTCATGATTTTTTTTTTTAACTGGAACTTCATCTGTATTATTCCTAAAACTATCAGTTGCCTCTGCTTTGGATGACTACATAGACGGTCCAGTGAAAACTGAGGTTAAGCTGATGTCTTCACTGGGAGTGTGGGAAATATGGGTTGAGTGCCTCTACTGCAGTTAGCTGGGATTAACTGTACAGTAAAACCTTGGATTGCGAGTAATGTGGTTTGTGAGTGTTCTGCAAGATGAGCAAACATTTCTAATACATTTTAACTTGGTAAACGAGCGATGTCTTGCAATACAAGTAGTTTGTTTCCGGAACGAATTATGCTCAAAAAGAAATGTATTACTGTACTTGTTTTCCCTGGCATTTCTTTCTCCTTAGGTGCACTGCCCAGTTCTTCTACATCCAAGACCTCTTTCTCTAATTGGAGTTGGGAGAGACAACTCAGTGTCTGGCTGGCTCTCTGTGGCTCTCATAATAGGTCTCAATGCTGAGATCGGAGCCTCAGGGAAGCTGGCTATTGGCATCAAATCCTCTATTATGTAGAGTCCTGGCTGTCTCACTTTCTGCCTTGGACTAAAAACAGCAGTCAAAGTCAATGCAGAAAATGCAACTGTGGGCATATAACCCAAGTGTGCAAACACAATAGACAAGGCTCATTCTAAGAGCTCCTGTCTACTCCTGGCCCAACGAGATCCCAGCTCCCACCCTGGACTGGCCTGAGACTCAATCTAGAAACCTCATCTCTTGCCTTCTCCTTTCTCCCCTCCTCTCATCCCCTACACTTCTCCTATTCTAGTCCTTTCTTTTCTTTAGAGTTTCTCAGAGTTTAATACAGTTTTTAAAGTCTGCCTCTGGATTCATCCTGCCTTCCCATGTCTTTGCTGAAAGTCAGGATTATAACATAGAAAAGGAGGCCAGCAGGATGTTTTTAGCTCATCACCTTGATGAAAGCCAGAAAGCCACCCTCCTCAAGGACCATCCTGGGGATACTCCTTGTGAACATGCCAGCCAACTCAGAGGTGCCACAGCAGACTGTGGGGGATGCGGGCCAGCCTTCCTGAAGCAATCAGGGTTAGGACTGACAGGGTGAGAATGCCTGGCTAGAATTATAACAGGTGATTGTGAAATGAGGTGCAATATTATCACTCAAGGCATTCTCCACCCCCATCTCGGGCAGACTGTAAAATAGCCAACAAACCTATAACTCATGCCTGAAGGAAGCTTATCTAACGCACGCATTTTCTCCATAAGGCACATCAGAGCTTTCATCTGCTTCAGAACACAAGACAGCACTTTAGCCATCTACTTGGGAGCCATTTCAAACAGCAAAATCATCAGCAAACAACACACAAAAAATGTCACTAAATCTAGACCCTGAAAGGGACACTTGCTTACAGTACAAGAGCTGAAACGAGAAGGCAGAGCCTCGTCTTGTTCAACCTCAGCTGGGAACGTGGGCATCGGGGGGCTCACCCTAGTCACCACACTCTCTACATGTTCGTCAGTGACTGCAACAGCTCCCCAAATATTGATTTTGGGGGTTATAAATAAATTTTAGTGAGTAGGAGAATTCGCAAATATGGAATTCATGAATAATATGGATTGATTGTATTATTATTAATGCTATGCATATTGATGGGGGCAAAAACCCTTTTGTTAAAGGAAAGAAGTCTGTAAGATGCCATCTAAAGGGCATTTTGTTGACTTTGGTACACCCCTCATCCCTTCACCCCTGCCAACAAACCTCCTGAATCATTAAGAAACATTTTGTGCAATCTGAAGCAGTTCAGAGATTACTCACAATTTGCGCCTATCCGGTGGGTGTCTAGTAAAGAGCGCTCCAAAGCCTGTCATAGGCAATCCAGTGTCCCTGGAAAGAAGATAACAAGTTTCAGAAACATGTCAGATTGACATTTATAGGCTATCAAAGTCATAGAAACCTAATGTGGGGCTGAATTTTTATGATAATTATTTTTTAAAGAATTTTCATGTTTGCAACTTTAGGTACTCTGCAAAGTAAAATGTCCCAATGTGTAAATGGAAATTTCAGCATTTTGTGATTACTTTGACTACATTTTCCAAAAATTACAGTATAAGACAGTCTATATCACACTTCCACAGAAAGGCACTGTTGCAGGACTATAGATAGGACTAAGAAACAGTTCCAACCCTCAAGGAACTCTATCTCAGGGGAAACGCATGTACATATCACCAACTAGAATGTAAGTACAACTGTTATGCAGGACGTAAACAAAATGCTCAGAAGGCAAGAGCATAAGAGCAATTAATTCTGATGAATAACAGCTTACCTAGTTCTTAGTGAACCTCAGGCAATACTTCCATGCACAATTCACCGTTTATTTCATCTGAATTTCAGAAAAACTCTATGAAGTAGATGCTTTTATAATTCCTCTTTTACAGGTGAACAAACTGAGGATTATAGATACCAAATGACTTTTACAAGTAAATTGTGGAGTTGGGGTTCAAACCTAGCTAGTCAGAACCCCAACTGTAAAAACACGTAAAAAAGAAATGACATTTTAGCTGGATCCAGGATGAGTAGAGCTGATTGGCAAACAACCAAGGTAAGGGAATTCCACACAGATGGAAACGCAGCAGCAGAGAGCATGTGAACTTGAGATGTGTTCCTGTGATATGTAGCTGGGGTCGCTATACCGCTTTGGCAGTTATATAAATCCTTCCCTGCAGGTGCCTGTTCTGTAAGCAAAGGAAAATATTAAGAATACCTTTCAATAATCCCAGAGTTCAATGTTTCCTCATTCAATAAAGCCTTGCTTTTTATTTCAGCCAGTTCTGTGTTTAAATAAGTTTGTGCCATTTGTTCTTGTGTTTCTGATATCCAAGTCTGGAAAAACAGAAGCCATATATAAGAAAAGTAAATGAATTATAAAAAAAATGGTCAGTTACTAAAATATATTTCTGTTGAAGAACATTCTGATTTTAATTGTCAGCTTCACTGACATTAAAAGTAAGTGATATCTCATAGCAGTTACCTATTTCATCATAACTATGTGAAAATGGCAATTCCTTACTACAAGTTGATGGAAAATGAAAATCAAATTAGTTGTTTCTATGAAATGGAAAGTGCTGCATTCGATTCAATTCTAATTACATCTGCTTTCTATTTCCTTCTCAAGGTAAATATATATTAACTCTACCAGACCTGAGGCCCTGAACCTAACTGTCCCCTATACCTGGGCTCCTGAGCATTAAAGAGAAAAAACCAACATGATACAGAAAAATGTTAGTTACATGCAAACAAGTGGTTAGAATAAGATGGAACTTGGAGACATTGTAGAAAATAGGTCTACCTTTCATCTAGCGCCAATATTCCATCTTTGTGTGCCAATCCACCCAGCAGGATGAGCCTTGTTTCACACAGAGGTACTTCTTGCAAAGTGAGCACCAGATGTTGCTCTTCACCTTCTTGCATGGCTTGTCTTTGTAAGACACTCCAGGATTTTGCTTGTTGTACCTGGAGTGCTTTTCCATGCACACAACACAGATATGATTAGATAAGATATGATTAGAAATTACCTAAAAATCGGTACAGCGGTCTGGTAGGTTTAACTTCTCTAAGTAAAAAAATGCTTGTAGCAATCACTTTGTAAATCACATAGGACTTCAGATATAATCATCATTGTCATCAGCAGCAGCATTCTCCATTTTCTATCACAGATGATAAACTCAGTGAATTATCAAGCAATTATTACTATGAGGAAAATTTGCAGATTGTAAGATGTACTCCAACCAATTGCAGATGCATCATGAGTAACATCTAGGGGATCTGAGGAAGAAAAATGGATGCTGAGGATTGAATATTTTCATAAAAAACTCTAGACCACCACAAATGTGGAGGTTCACAGCAGAGAATCAGAATTCAGCACCATCAAGAGAACCCATTACTTTCCCTGAACCTCAAGAACAGGTTCCACAACACATCCAATGAAGCCCAGATCATATCAATCCCATTAGATTTTGTTTAAAAACTGAGAAACCACTGTTTAGAAATTTGGAGACTTCAACTGCAAGAGTATCATAGCTATAGTCAAATGCCTTCGGTCCACTTTGGGTCAGTATAATAAGGCTCTGTAATAACTAGGAATCCATCCTACTCAAAGGAATTTTAACTAGAGTCTCTGGTCCTACTTCCCTGGTCTACTCCATGGCTCTGCTGATCCTTGGCTTCTCTCACCACTGTTCTCTAAGACCTCAACTTCCTGAATCACCAGCCGCCCAGCCCCATTTCACAACTCTGATTCCTATACCCTCAGTTCAACCACTCCTCTTTTTATTGGGTCGTCGGGAAAGTCATGACGTATTTTTTTATGTTTTTCAATGCAAAAATGCGTCATGACTTCCCCGACGACCCAATAGATTCCCAAGTTCACCAGTCAATGGTAGAGGACACGGTATTTTATATTTTATACTTTATAATTTATACTTCATATTTTATACTTTCACAAAAAATAAGACATATCTTTTGGGGAAAACATTACTAGCTACCATTTTGTTTTAAGGTGTAAGTTTGACGCCAAAATTAACCTTAGGTATGCTTTGATCATTTTTGGCAGTAAAATACTTCAACACATCAATTAACACCTCCTTTGAAAATTATATGAAACAAAGATATTACCAAAGATGAAATAATGAGAAGTAAACAAAAACAGATGATAATAGCATTAGTGGAGCTTAAGCTTATTGAGTGCTTATTGTGTGTCAGACATTGCATTAAGCGCTTTGCATGCATTATTTCATTAAATACTGAAAATAACCCTAGGAGTGTTGTGTGTCAATCATGGTCTCAGAAGAAAAAGAACAATTAAATGGGGACCTGAAGAGATTTTAATGAAGGATATATTTATAAAAGTGTGGCCAGCATTCAGAAAATCAACAAACAATGTTGAAATGCCATGAGGATAGCAATAGTGGGGAGCCACAAGGTGGGGGCTGACACTGGATCCCTGAAAGACCTACATCTGTAAAAAGGGGGGCCACTTGATAGTTATGGCTTCCCGAACAGTGTCTTAGTCCATTATTGGTTACAAATACTGTAGACTGGATGGCTTGTAAACAACAGAAATTTATTTCTCACAGTCCTGGAAGCTGAGAAGTCCAAGATCAAGGTGCCAACAGATTTGGTGTTTGGTAAAGGCCATCTTTCTCACTGTGTCCTCACATGGCAGAAGGGAGGAGGGAGCACACTGGGGGCTTTCTTAGAAGGGCACTAATCCCATACACAAGGACTCCCAAATGACCCATCTCCTAATACCATCACACTGAGCAGTTAGGATTTCATCATGATAATTTGGGGGGGACCCAAACATTCAGTCTGTAGCTCATAGCCACTGCCAAACCATGGCCCTGCAGGGAGGAACCACAGGAATAAATGTTCAAGCGAACTCTCCTCCCACTTCTGACCACCTGCCAGTGCCTTCCACAGGCCAATCCCAACAGGAGGTCAGAGGGTAAGGGAGCTCATTGATGTGGTCCATAAAGGTCAGCCTCCTTGGCACAGAGCAGGGTTGCGAATGGATCTGGAGGGAGAAAAGAAGGAATTTATGTTCATTTTAAGGGGAAACTGAGGCTGAAAGGGATTAAGTAATGCCCATTGAAACCATCTAGAAAGCAGAAGCTCCTCAGTTTAAAACTCATGCAGTCTGATCCATCCATCCATCCATCCATCCATCCATCCATCCATCCATCCATCCATCCATGTCTATGAAGGGCTAGGCATCTTACTATGTTCTAGGACTAGAGTAGTAAACTCCAGAGGCTATACTGACTGTAGCTTGGTGAGTTATAGTGGGTATGGTACAGTGTTATACCATGGGGATAACAGTAAAAACAATAGCACATGGCCAGACGCCACTCAAAATGTCTTCACATTAAATGCTCATGAAAACTACTATTCCCACTTTACACCTGAGTAAATAAAGACACGGAACATTTTATACTCTTGACCAGTTACAACTTAATAAGTGGTGGAGCTAAGAATCAAAGAGAACCCATCTGATGCCAGAGACTGCTTTTAACCTCTGTGTTTTCTATATCAGAGGCAAATGTGATCCCCCAATATTAGACCTCCTATCTTCCTCAGTAATAGAACCCCCAAATTTTAGCTGGGCCTATGGTGTTTCAGACAACATTTTCTAGTTCTCCCTTATACTTAGATACAACCAGGGACTGGTTCTGGACAGTGGGGCATAAATAGAAGTAGTTTATACAACCTCTGGGAAAGGTCCTCTTCTGTTTTTTCTTTCCTACTGCATGGGATGCAGACATAATGACAGGTCTCCGGCACCTGTCTTTGACCCTACCCCAAAGATGGAAGAGCAGAAAGTTGGAAGGAGTGGGTTTCTGATTATTTGTAGAACTGCCGTACCAGTCCTGGCCTGCTATCCTCCAGACTTTTTACATGAAAGAATAAAACCTTATGTGAACAGCCACTGTTGATTTGTGATTTTTGTTGCATGTAGGCAAACCTAATCTTACACCATCTTAGTGTGAAAAATCACTTTGAAAAGATCACTTTGGTCTAGAAATGTTCATAGCCTGACATAAGGGTGGGTAATTTATAAAAGTACTTCCATATGTTTAAAAGTCTTTTGGGATGGA